ATTAAATCTGCAGTGTATATATTTTTTGGCCTTAATTTAAATTTGGAATCAGTATAATAATCAGAAAAAACAATATAACAATTAATTTAGGATACCACTTTGGATAGGAGTGCTGATCACTGTCATTGATACTYTATCTTTTTTGATGCTGGACAAATATGGACTTCGAAAATTGGAACTAGTGTTCGGTCTATTCATTGTTATAATGGCATTGTCATTTGGATATGAGGTATTAAAAATGTCATCAAATTCTTTTCTTAATTACTATTTTTATTCTTAAAATAATGTGTCTATATGTTTCTATATATTTAAGTTGATTGTTCTTTCTAGTTTGCAATTGTTCAGCCTGATATAAAAGATATGGCTAAAGGATTGGTTACTCCTTGGTGTTCAAATTGTCAAGAATCTGCTCTTCTTCAAGCTGTTGGCATTATTGGAGCAATTATAATGCCACATAATCTATACTTACATTCAGGCCTAGTTAAGGTAAATTTTATAATAATAATAATCATTCATTCATTGTTTAAATTGTCAAATTCAATATGGTTTCATGAAATCATTCACATCAGATATGGTCCTATTGTGTAATTAATATTTAAAATTTTAATTTAAAATTTTTAAATCAAATAGTAAATTATTAGAAATATTTTATTCTAAACCAAGTCCTTAAAAAGAAGAAAATTATATTGGTATTATTTAAAACTTCTAATATTAGTATCTGATAGAAATTTTTAAAAACTAAATTGTCGATACATTATATACCAGCGGTGGCCACTAACTTTAACTTTGAGAGCCACAAATTTATTAAGTTAATTCGAGGTGAGCCACACATTGTAAAGCAATGTTTATAAAATAAAAATACATTTTTCATTTTAAAACAAATGAAGGAACATTTATTTAMTTTTAATTTTAGTCTAAGTTTGGTTCAAGAGCCATAACTATCTCTTAAGCCGTGTCCACACCTGAGCACGCGCAGACCGAGCATGTGTGCTCATGTTGTGCGTTCTACGAATTTGCATGATTTTGACGCACAGCGAACGCGAGCCGAGTCTGTCGGCTCGGCGTGAGCACACATGCTCGG